CATAAACAGTTATACCAGACTACAGGAACTAATGGGGCTGTCCCAGGCAAACTAGGATATTTTGTTTCCTAGTTATAAAGAACATTTTTCAGACAATTAGGGAAATATAAAGGTGGTCTGTACATTGAAAGATGTTATTAAATTACGTTAATTTTCTGAGGGGTGATGATGGAATCATGGTTATATAAGGAAATGTCCTTATTTTTGGAAGATATATATGTGTATACTGAAGTATTTGGAGATAAAGCATGACAATGTATTCAGCCCTCTTTTAGATTGTTTGACAAAAGGGAATTGTGTGTGTGTGTGTGTGTGTGTGTGTGTGTGCGTGCGTGTCTGCGTTCTGTAAAAAAAGAGTTGGAGGTAGTGTAACATGTTAATAGTCAATTAAGGTAAGAAGCTATATATTTCCATTGTTCTGTTATTTTAATTTTTTATGGGTAGAAATCCCCCACACCCCACAAAAAAAAATGTCAACTAGTGGGAAAAAGAGAGGAAAATAAAAATAGATAATAAACTTTATGCTTGGGAAAAACAACAGAAAAAAACGCTGATTCCTAACTCCCTACTACAGCCCCCGTGATTTAGATTTAATTGATGTGGGATGAAATCAGGAACAATATATGTCAGTGGTTCTCAAACAGGCAGGTTTGAGAATCATTAGCTTTGACAATTAATTATGCACTGGTAACTTTTAGGCCATACTCACCACTCTTCTCTCTTGTGCTATAGTTCTGCAGTTCCAAGTGGTGGATATCTTCATCTGTAGAGTTGTTTGGCCCCTAAAGATACAGTTGTCATCTTTCTTTACCATTCCCATTTATTTCAAACATTCTCTATCCATTGCTTACCTATTTTTCTCTAATGGCACCTGAATTCTCCCAATTATCTGAACTAAAATGCATTGAGTCATTTTTCTCCTGCCCCTCCCATCCAATCAGAATTAATACTGCCATCTCCTCTTCCCCATGGCCATCTTCATTACCATCATGCAAGACCTCATTATCTCTCTCACAGAATCCTTACAAGAGTTTCATTGTTGGTCTCTCACTTCTTTGTTTTTAAATGTATTTTATTGAAGTATAGTTGATTTACAGTGTTGTGTTAATTTTTGCTGTACAGCAGTGATTCAGTTATACATAGATGATAGACAGGTAGATATAGATAGATATTCTTTTTCATATTCTTTTCCATTATGGTATATCACAGGATATTGAATATAGTTCCCTGTCTTATACAGTAGGACCTTGTTGTTTATCCGTTCTATATATACTAGTTTGCATCTACTAACCCCAAAATCCCATTCTTTCCCTCCCTCACGTCCCCTTCCCCTTGGCAATCACAAGTCTGTTCTCTATGTCTGTGAGTCTCTCACTTCTATTTTATCCCCTTCTCCAATCAATCCTATGCACTACAACCAGAGTAAGCTTCCAAAAACCACACCTCAAAAACAACAACAAAACTTTCAATTATTCCCTGATACCTACTAAGTTAAATAAAAATTGTATTTCAAAACATTTAAAAGGCTCCATTGTTTTATCCCAACTTAAAATTTCAGGCTTATTCTCCAGAACCGTATGCCTACCTTATTTTGAGTAGAAATCCAGACCTGCCTTTTCATGATCTGTACCCACCATATTGAAATTGTTCCTCGCACATTAACGCCTTCCTCTATGACTGCTTCTTCCAGGACAAGCATACTTCTTCCTACTAAAAGGCCCTATTATCCCCTTTTGATTAATACCCAGAGAGTTTCATTTATATCAAACCTCCTTTCTAACCTCTAATATTGGAAAGCTGAGGTCTTGCATCAGGAGAACCTCAGAATAAATTCTTCACTTTATGCTTTCTTGTATCTCTATCCTTGCTTTCACTTAGCCATTTCTGTTCGGAAAAGTGATGAGTTACATTGCTTACTTACAATTACCCAAGTTGATCTTTAGTTTTCAGACCTCCTTATCTGATCTTTCCAATGCCAACAAGGTATTAAACCTGAATAAACTGCCAAAATGAATCTTCCGCTGAGTACATTCCTGGGCATCTAGTTCACATGTACTTCATAGGTCCCATAGCTTTGTCAAACTTTTACCTCTCTTTCAGTCATTTTCTTCCTTTCACTGTAATCAATCTCTCTATATATTTACCCTAAGCTTATTAAGGATAGGAATTGCCTTTTCCATTTCTATATCCTATGCAATAATTAAAATTTTGCATACATGTTTTTGTTTGATAAATGTATACTGACCTGAATCAAATAAGTGTTTTTAGTGATCTATACAAAATAGTGCTATAAAAAATTACAAAAAGTATTATGATTATTTTATTATTCTTTTTCAAAATAAAGTAAAATATTTTCATCTGAAATCACACTTGGTGAGTTACAGCTCAATTCTGTGCCAATACATTAAACTCTGAATCATGGAAATAGTAAGAATGGCAGAAATTGTTAGGCAGAATGACGGTTTGTAGAAACTGGCTAGTAAATAAGAAATAATACTCTTTTTTATTAAACTAGCTTGAAACTGATATTTATTAAAATTTAAATTGATGAATGCTCCAAAGCAGTACAAATAGAGCTGTAATTCCATCTTGCCATTCTAATGACAATGAAGAACTAAACCAAATGTTCTCTAACATTTTTTATACCACTATAACCTTTGGATGAAATTACAGTCTTGCGCTAAAGTGCATTTGAAGAAGAATATGCCTGCCCATATTAAATGTGCTATAGGGAAAAACAGTATTTGTAGTGAATATCTGTGTAATATAATTATATAATCACCTGCTAAGTACATATGTGTTATTGTGTTTTGATCCCTAATGCTATGATTGTTTAAGATATAAAGAGAAAGAAGAAAAAGGTTCTGTTTAATCTTAAAAAAAGAGAGAAAGAGAGATGTAGTTCTCTATAGGGTTTTCAGGCTGTGAAATATGTTATTTCTTTTGACAGCACAATTATGCTTAACATTTGACACTTCCACTCAAAATAAGAACTATTTTTCTTCTTTGTCTTCTGACCATATTTATAAATTTAATTGAACAAAATGTCAAAAAAGTAAAAAAATCGTACAGAACCCAAAATGCAAGGTGTAAAGCTACAGAATAGAAAAAAAAAGCCATCATCTGAAAATGAAAGAGATAGACCAAAGAGGAAGACCAAAGAGGAAATCAATGATTAAAACTATTCTTTTTTTAAATTATTTTTTAATTTTAATTTTTTTAACATCTTTATCGGAGTATAATTGCTTTACAATGGTGTGTTAGTTTCTGCGTTATAACAAAGTGAATCAGTTATACATATACATATGTCCCCATATCTCTTCCCTCTTGCATCTCCCTCCCTCCCGCCCTCCCTATCCCACCCCTCTAGGTGGTCACAAAGCACCGTGCTGATCTCCCTGTGCTATGCAGCTGCTTCCCACTAGCTATCTATTTTACGTTTGGTAGTGTATATATGTCCATGCCACTGTCTCACTTTGTCCCAGTTTACCCTTCCCCCTCCCTATATCCTCAAGTCCATTCTCTAGTAGGTCTGCATCTTTATTCCCATCTTGCCCCTAGGTTCTTCTGATCATTTTTTTTCTTTTTTTTTTTTGTTTTTTAGATTCCATATATATGTGTTAGCATACAGTATCTGTTTTTCTCTTTCTGACTTACTTCACTTAAAGCTATTCTTATCTCAATCACATCTCATGATGTAAAAGACAGTTTTAAAAATAAATGAAAATCTCTATTGTAGAAGTGAACAGAAATAAAATTATGTTATCTAAACAAATTTGTCATAGGAACAGTGTATGTAGAATAAAAGAAATTTTAACAGAAATCATGCATGAAATAATAAATTCTTCCAATAATGAACTACTGTTTTATTTTGTAAATAAAATATTAAGATATATTTTGGTTAAATGTATACTTTGCCATACATCAAATTATTTATATTTACTACTTCATCACTTTTCTTTGGGAGATTTTTCTCTGTTTAGTTTTGTACATATTCATTTTAGAAAAATAAATTCTTGAATTCTGTAGTATTTCTTTCCATAAGTAAAAAGTATTCTTGGAATAGTTGCAGGCAATATTCTTTTACACTTCATGCAAATAACATACAATGTCCTTAGTGACTTGGGTAAATTTTACCTCAGTTTTTTTTTTAGATAGTGATTTTTCATTTCTTCTTTCAAATTACTGTTTCTTTATGCTGTGAAAAATTTGGCATTGTAGAGGATTTAAATTATTTTTTTTCTAAATAATTACCACCATCTTTTCCTCCACTATTTGCCTTCAATCGTAATTAGGCCCTAAGTGTTTGTACACACTTCCACAGCATATCAAAAATCAAATCAAATCAAAAAGTGTTTGTACACACTTCCACAGCATATCGTGTTTGTACACACTTCCACAGCATATCAAAAAATATTTTCCTTTTAATCTCTCTTAAAGACTTTAATTTTGTCCTATTCAATATCCTACCATCTGTCCTAAAATGTATTTCTGACTCCAGTTTTATCAAGTTTCTTAAAGTATCCATTTTAAATTCTGGACTATCTAAGTTAATAGATAGTGAAAGATGTACTTTATGTATGAATAGTACACACCATCCAGAGTCATTTCATTCATTCATTTCATTAACTCACATCTTTATATCCTACTGGTCAATAATCCTGTGAGGTCTACTGTCACAATATATCCAGACTCCAACCGCTTCTCCCCATCTCTATCATGATCATCCCCCAACTGGCACCACATTATCTCTCACCTGAATTATTATCCGGATTTCCTAATTGGTCTTCTGTCCTTGCCCACCCCCACACCCTATTCCCCATCCCTAATAGCTTATTCTCAACCTACTGCCAAAATATAAATCAATTTTCTCCATTCTTTTTTCATTCAGGGTGAAATCAACGTCTTAACAATTGCCTAAGTGGCTGTGAACGATCTGACCTCCATTGCCTCTCAGGCCTCATTTCTTACCAATCTTCCATTCTCTCCTTCTACTTCAGCCATGCTGACTCCTTGCTCTTCCTGTGGCACACCAGATTTACTCCCCCTTCAAAACTTTTGCATCTAAAGGAGTAAACAAAATGTTTTCTTCACATCAGGTTCAACAAAACCTTGTAAGTATCACTACATTCAGCTTTGTCTCACGTTTGTCCAAATGTGTATTGAGTTCCCACTAATTGCCAACTACTCTGATAAACCTATGAAATACAAATATGCAAAAAAAGAAAATCACTTTCCTGAAAGAGCAAATGGTCTAGTGGAAGTGATCAATGATAAGGACAAAGAGCTATGAGCCCAGAAGAAATGTGTCTGTACATATTGTAGATGCCAAAGCTTCCCAGAGGAGTTCAACCTTGAAGGATTAGCAAGGGTTATAAAGGCTAAGAAGGAATTCAGGCGGAAAGAATAAGCAAAGGCACAGAATTCGTAGAGGATGTAATCTCTTTGGAAAACTGCAAGTTAGGGTCCTCTTGCAGTTGACAGTAGGGCTCCGACAAATGATAAGACTGAATATAGAGGTGAGGGAAGAAAGCAAGGGGTGGGGTTATACATATATACACTTATTCTTACATTAATGCAATGATTTTTATATGCCATACACTGTACTAGGTTCTGGGGAACACTGTAGTGACCAAAATCGTATAGGTTTTACACTCATATTGTTTAAAACATAGTGGGAGAAGTAGAAGGTGGTATGAGAATGCCCAGAAGCAAGCCTAAAAATCAGAGTTGGAAAATTAACAAACGCTTTTGCAAAGAATTTGAAATCAAAGGAGAAATCTGAAGTCCACACAGGCATTAGCCAGTGTAATAGGCTGAAATGTGTCCCCTCAAATTCATATGTTGAATACCTAACCTGCTGTACTTCAGAATGTGACTGTATTTGGGGATAGGGCCTTTAAAGAGGTAATTAAGTTAAAACAAAGCTGTTAGGGAGGGCCCTAATCCAATCTGCCTGGTGTCCTTATAGGAACAGGAAATTTGGACACACTGAGAGAAACCAAGGATGTGCCAGCACAGAGGGATGACCATGTGATGATTCAGCAAGAGAGTGGCCATCTGCAAGGCAAGAAGAGAGGCCTCAGAAGAAACCAAACCTGCCAGCACCTACATCTTGGACTTCCAGCCTCCAGAACTGTGAGAAAATAAATTTCTGTTCTTTAAGCCACCCAGTCTGTGATATTTTGTTATGGCAGCCGTAACAAACTAATACAGCCAGATAAAGGAGGTGGGTAGTGGGAAGAGAATTCTAGAATGAGGCAATCATGTATGAGTAGGTTTGGAGGTAAATTATGTCTGAGGACTAAAAAGTGTTCTGTAAGCTTAGACAATAAGTGGAAGAAGAAAACACTGAGAAATGAGACTAGAGCATTACTGTCTCTGGGGGTGAAATCATCCAGGACTGCGAGCATGAAAAGGAGATTGGGCTTTTGCTTAAATCAATGAGAAACCACTGAAGGGTATTATATAGGGGAGGAGGATAGGCAGGAGTAAGTTTGAACTTAAAAAGAAGTGCCCTGATGGCAGAATGGAGAATGGATTGAGGGGTGGGGTGGAGAGCAAAGCTGGGGGAGAGAATACCAATCAAAAGCCACTGCTCAGTTAAGAAATGATGGTGGCATTGACTAAAATACTAGCAGTTGAGATCAAGAAAGATGAACAGATTTAAAGGATGCTTCTCTCAGGAGGAATTGAAAGTTTTCATCATTGATTAAAATTTGGGGGGTAGGAAGGCAGAAGAATGAGTCACAGATTATATCCTGGGTTCTGGCTCCACACGGGAGGAGGGATATGACATTCACTGAGATGTAGGAACACAGTGAAAGATACTGACAAGTGACAGTACTGAGTTCAGTCGAGTCTAAACTTTTGAGCTTGAGGGCCATGAAAGTAAGGTTGCCCAATAGACATGTGGATATATGAATCATAAACTTCAGAAAGAGAGTATAGGATAGAGTTGAGATATATAGATTTGGGAGTCATCTATAGATGGTTTTTGAAGCCACGTGAATGAATGGAACAACAAATGACTATAAGAAAAAAAGGCCTAGGAAGGAACATGAATATTTAAAAGAAAGGCAGAGAATAATGGGCCCATGAAGAAGGATAGACTACAGCCTGTGACACAGTGAGAAAACCAAGTCAGCAAGACAGCGGATAATGTTTCAACAGTGTCAGCTGATGCAGAGAGATCAGTGAGGCAAAAATTCTTTTAGCCAACAAGGAGCTTTTGCTGATATTAGATAAAGTTTACGCAGGAGTTTGGTGGACTTAAAAACTAGTTTGAAATTTTTTAAATGTGTATGTGTAAGCGATCTTAACGGCAGGGTGTAAGTGATTAAAGACTGTAAATACAGACGTGAGATGTTGGGCTATAAAAGGGAGATAAGAGAATTGTCACTGGAGGCAGATGCGGGATAAAGGAAGATTTTGTTTGTTTTTTCGAAGATGGAAGAAACATACTGTGTTCAAATGTGAATCGGAAGGAGCCAGAGAAGAAGAAATATTCAAAATTAATAATGAGATAGCACTGATATCAGTAGAGCATGTTTACTTTATGTACAGCTCTGTTTTAGGTACTTTACTCAAAATAAATCATTCAATACTAGGGTGAATTATTATTCTACTTTAATAGATGAGAAAACATAGTCATAGAGATGATGAAGTTGTAATTATCTTCCCAAAGTTGTCCATCTTATAAGTTAAGGGAGTCAGGATTTGAAACCAGGAAATCTGCCTTCAGAAGTTACCATATCTCTGAAAGCACAGTAGATAAAATACCTTCAAGGGGTCACCTGGAAACATCAGGGCATGACTGAGGTTAGAGATCATGAGTTTTGAGTGAAATAATCTGTAACATCCACCTTTGCTCTTAGGGAAGAAACATGTAACTCCCAGAGGGAAACTGTATGATCATGGCTTTTCTCATTTGGAAGAGTCAAGCAGAGAAGCCAGTTAATTAATTAACTTAGAGGTGAAGTCAGGCAAGATAAGATCATATTTTTGTATAGTAATGCCTGGATTATTATTGTATAAGGAGTAGGGACAAAGTAATGTTAAAGAGAAGAATTCTGTTTTTCCAATCAACTAGGCAGTCTTTAAACTCAAAGCTCATTATTTTGGTGGCAAGTTATATTTTGAGGTACTTTAGAAGAAAACTCGGCCACAATTCTATTTCGTGATAGAAGAAACCAACTGCCTCTTCTGGAAAAGAAGAAAGTTAGCACCTCCCTCCTTTAGGGTAATCAGAAGTCAGTGCAGGTGAGAGCTCCAGTTAGAGCTATCTTAAGCCTAAAGGAGCAAAGATTACAAGGAACAAGAATAGATGGGGATCCAAATTCCATCATGGGTATTGAGTCCTAAAGGAAAAGTTTAAATAAAGGACTGCAGAAATAACAGAAGGATGGGAAAAGGGACAGAAGAGTTATGTAAGAATTTACATTCTAAAGTTTTAACCACAAAGGCAAGAATAGGGGTGAGAGAAACAAAGACACAAATTATGTGTGGTTTAGGAACCTTTCTCTGAAATTTCACTGAGCTGTTTAAACATTTATTGAAGTCCAGTCTAGAGAAAAAAAGTTGGAGCGATATTTGAAAACTTGTTAGTGCTTCTTCTTCCTCCTCTTTGCTGTCAGCCATGGTTGCCTGAAGGACTACTGTATGACCCATTGTGAAGTTCTAGAAGAAAAATATCAATCAGAAAATAACATCCCAGGCTTATATATCATACATCTAAAACATAGGTGAAGAGAATGGAGGATATTTGCCAGTCATTCTCTGCCCAAAGCCAGCTCCCCTTCATGCTGTACCACTCATTACAAACATCGTGGTTTAAACATCTGGGAATTATCTTCCTACTTGACGTTTTACACTCAATTACTCCATCTATGATCATTTATTTTTAAGACTGTTTTAGAACAGTTAGTTTTATAACAACATTGAGAGGAAGGTACAGAGATTTTCACATATCCACTGTCCCATACATGCATAGCCTCCCCCATTATCAACATCGGTCACCACAATGTTACATTTTTACCTAGGATGGTCCTACTGTGACACATCATAATCACCAAAGTCCATACTTTATGTTAGGGTTCCAAGGGTTTGCACAAATGTGTGATGTATAATGACATATTCATCAATATAATATCATACAGAGTATTTTTACTGTCCTAAAAATCCTCTGTGCTCTGCCATTCCTCTCTCCATCCCCCATGCCCCACCTCTGGCAACCACTGATTTTTTATTGTCCCATAAGTTTGCCTTTTCCAGACTGTCATATAGTTGAGATCATACAGTATGTAGCTCTTGCAGATTGGCTTCTTTCACTTATTAATATGCAATTAAGTGTCCTCCCCATCTTTCATGGCTTGATAGCTCATTTCTTTTCAGCACTGAATAATATTCCATTGTCTGTATGTACCACTGTTTATCCGTTCACCTACTAGAGGACATCTTGTTTGCTCCCAAGTTTTGGCAATAACGAATAAAGTGGCTATTAACATCTGTGTACAGTTTTCTGTGTGCACATGTTTTCAACTCATTTGGGTACATACTAAAAAGTACAATTGCTGGATCATATGGTAAGATTATGTTTAGTTTTATAAGAAACCATAAAACTGTCTTCCAATTCCCACCAGCAATGAGAGTTCCTATTGCTCCAAAATCTCACAAGCATTTAGTGTTGCCAGTGTTTTGGATTTTGGCCATTCCAATAGATGTGTATGGTATGTCACTACTGTATTATTTTGCATTCACCTGATGACATATTTGCCATCTGTATTTTCTCTGGAGTAGTGTCTGTTAAGGTCTTTGGCTCACTTTTAATCAGGTTGTTTTCATATTGCTGGATTTTAGGAGTTCTTGGTATATTTTGGATAACAATTTTTATCAGGTGGGTCTTTTGCAAATATTTTCTCCCAGTATGTGACCTGACTTCTAATTCTCTTGATATTGTCTTTCAGAGAAGTGTGAAATTTTAATGAAATTAAACTTACCAATTTTTTAAATGGATCATATATTTGGTGTTGTGTCTAAAAATGCATCACCATCCCCAAGGTCATCCAAGTTTTCTCCTATATTATCTTCTAAGAGTTTTATAGTGTTGTGTTTTACATTTAAGTCTGTGATCCATTTTAATCTAATTTTGTCAAGGGCAGAAGGTCTGTGTCTAGATTTATTTTTTGCATGTAGACGTCTAGTTGTTCCAGCACCATTTGTTGAAGAGACTATATTTGTTCCATTGTGTTGCCTTTGCTCCTTTATCAAAGATGAATTGACTGTATTTATGGGAGTCTATTTCTGGGCTCTATTGTGTTTCATTGATCTGTTTGTCTATTCCTTCACGGATAACTCACTGTCTTAATTACTGTAACTTTATAGTAAGTCTTGAAATCAGGTAGTGTCAGTCCTCCAACTTTGTTTTTCTCCTTCAATATTGTGTTAGCCATTCTGAGTCATTCGCATTCTGCATATAAACTTCAGAATCAAATTTTGGTGTTCATAAAGTAGCCTGCTAGGATTTTGATTGGGATTGCATTGAATCTATAGATCAAATTTGGGAAGAACTGACATCTGGACAATATTCAGGTTTCCTGACCATGAACATGGGGTATCTCTCCATTTATTTAATTCTTCTTTGATTTTGTTCATTGGAATTCTGTAATTTCCCTCATATAGATCATGTACATATTTTGTTAGACTTTTACCAAAGTATTCCATTTTGGGGGTACTAACGTAAACAGTATTGTGTTTTTTATTTTAAACTCCATTTATTCATTAATGATATATATATGAAAGCAACTGACTTTTGCACATTAACCTTGGATCCTGCAAACTTGCTATAATCACTTATCAGTTCCTGAAGTGTTTTTGTCTATTCTTTCAAATTTTCTACATAGACAGTCATGTCATCTGCAAAGAGACAGTTTTATATCTTCCTTCCCAAACCCTATATACCTTTTATTTCTTTTTCTTACCTTGTTGCAGTAGCAAGGACTTCCAGTACAGTATTAAAAAGAAGTGGTAAGTACCAGTACATGGCAAGGGGACATCTTTGCTTTGTACCTTATCTTAGTGGGAAAACTTCAAGTTTCTCACCACAAAATATGAT